GAAAGTTTACAGAACAAATAGTTTCTCATTAAACAGTCAGTACACATATTGTTTTATGACATTGGTTAACAACCCCACAACATGTCAACACTCTCCCTTCTCGACCTTGAAGGACTTTTTTTTTTTGGTGAAAATATACATAGCTAAAGTTACACCATTTCAGTACTTTCTACCTGTACAATTCAGTGACATCAATTACGTTCTTCCAGTTGTGCTGCTATTCTCACTGCACTTTTCCAAATTATTCCGTCACCCCAGTAGTAAATTTTTTTAACTTCTACTCATTTCTGAAATCTTGCATCAACTTTTTTGCAATTTTAAATTTAATCCTAGAATGATTCTTGCCAATTATTCAGGTTTACCTACACAGTTATTTCCTTGCAAGTTTCCTTATCTGGCAGAAGAACTCAAAGTAAACTATCTGTAACTATTATTTAGTACCATAACTTTGTAGAAATTACATGCATGTGTGGAATGTATATGTATGTGTGTTTTTTTAAATTTTATGCTTCTTTACATCAATCGCTAAACAATTAGGTCTTTAAAATCTACTGAGTATTCAAGATGAAAAAGTAAGTGTTGTTAAAATGTGTCATCAATTTTTATTCAAAGCTCACAAGCAAATTGTAGATAAGGAAATGTTTAGAAGATCGAGACCTACATTCTCTGTAGTATATGTAACAAGGTATTAAAGCCAGTGATTGAAAAACAAATAAGCAAAACCCTCCCCAGTCTTTCTTTTACCTGAACTCATGTAAGTAGAGACACACTCAACTTGGAGCTACTGAGCTCCTTGGCCTTCAGCAAACCACATGCTAAATACAGTCAATACTACAATGAGATCATTTTACAGTTACATACAGATACATACCATCCTTCCTACAGAATCCCCAGACAACATCTTTTATATAAATCAAGACTTTAATTTAAAGTTACTAAAACTTAGATTTTTTTTTAAATCTTTAAAAAATTTTAATGTGGTAGAATATATATAACAAAAAAATTTTTCCACTTTAACCATTTTTAAGCATAGAATTCAGTACCTTTAATTATATTTACAAAAATGTTGTACAAACATCACCTCTATTTATTTCCAAAACTTTTTAATTGCCCTAAGAAGAAAAAATCAGATTTTTTTTAACTCATGTGTAAATGGTTCTGGTTTAGATGTCATATGTCATATATCCAATTTAGATTGTACAGTGTTATACAAATTTTAGAAGTAAATTTATTTGGCCGATAACAATGTAAACATCATAACAAACGGAGAAAAGATTGAAGAAGTCAAGGATTTCATTTTACCTGGATCCACAGTCAACGCCCACGAAAGCAGCAGTCAAGAACTCAGAGGATGCATTGCATTGGGCAAATCTACTACAGAAGCCCTCTTTAAAGTGTTAAAAAGCAAACATATCAGTTAAGGACTAAGATGTGCCTGACCAAGCCATGGTGTTTTCAGTCGCCTCATATGCGTGTGAAAGCTGGACAGTGAATAAAGAAGACCAAAGAAGAATTGATGCCTTTGAATTATGATGTTGGCAAAGAGTATCGACTATCCCATGGGCTGTCAGAAGAACGAACAAATCTGTCTTGAAAGAAGTACAGCCAGTACGCTCCTTAGAAGCGAGGATGGGAAACTTTGTCTCACATACTTTGGACATGCTATCAGGGGGGATCAGTCCTTGGAGAAGGACATCATGCTTGGTAAAGTAGAGGGTCAGCGAAAAAGAGGAAGACGCGGTGGATTGGCACACTGGCTGCAGCAGTGGGCTGGAGCATAACAACAATTATGAGGATGGCGCAGGACTGGGCAGTGTTTTGTTCTGTTGTACGTAGGGTCGCTATGAGTCGGAATCGTCTCGAGGGCATCTAACAACCAACACAACAGTGTAGCTACTTCTTTATCCAAGAAAGATCCACTTCAATTGGCAAAGGTAGTTTCTATTCAATATTTTTAGGAAAATTAGTGATGTTTTCATTAAGCAACGATTTTCATGTAGACATTATGTTGAGACTTTAACATACTAAGTCAAATGCATTGTTTTTTTTTCCAGTTTTGGTTTTAGTTTCTTTGCTGGTGTATGTGTGTGTCTGAGTGTGTGTGTGAATTCGGAAGAGTTCATCATTTTTTAAAAGAGTGACATTTGACAGTTTCTTAACTCTGGGAATAGATTTTTTTTAACATCATGTGATTGATGACATTGATAATTTGATCCTACATTTAAATATAAAAGCCTTTGGGAACTCCCTTTAAGTGAGCTAAGCCCATCTGATATCTTTGAAGCAATAAGATACCTGGAGAAAGAACTTTCCATGCAGAGAGGAAGATAAGTGTCAATGCCCTGAGACAGGAACCAGTTCAGTTTGTTTGGTGAATAGCCATTAGGCCATGTCGCTGGAGCAGGCTGAGAAGTGGAAGAGGAGTAGGATGTGCAGTCAGAGAGGTAATGGGGGTCAGAATATGTAAGGCTTCTTGTCCATTTAAGGGTTTTGCCATTTTTTAAGAATGAGATGCAAAGTTACTGGAGTCTTTGGAGCAGAGTAATGACCTGATTGAGTTTGTATGTTTCAATTTAAGTGTGTAGAAAATAGATCGCTGTTGTTGTTAGGTGCTGTTGAGCCCATTCCGACTCATAGCGACCCTGTAGGACAGAGTAGAACTGCCCCATAGGGTTTCCAAGGAGTGGTTGGTGGCTTCAAACTGCTAACCTTTTGATTAGCAGCCATAGTTTGCTGAAGTCTTAACTACTGTGCCACCAGGGCTCTGGAGAATAGATTGGAGAGGACAAAGTCTGAAGCAGAGAAACCGTAGGAGAACCTAGCAGAAGATGAGGTCTATAGTTGCAGTGATTCAGGTGCTTAGAGGTGGTCTGATTTTGAATACATTTTAATATATAAAAAACCTATTGTGGTTGCGCCAATTCTGACTCCTGGTGACCCCATGTGCTACAGAGTAGAACGGCTGCGTAGGGTTTTCTTGGCTGTGATCTTTATGGGAGGAGTCACTGGGTGGCGCAGACAGTTAAGCACTGGACTATTAACCAAAAGATTGATGGTTCAGACCCACCCAGAGGCACCTCAGAAGGAAGGCCTGAAGATCTGCTTCTGAAAGGTCACAGCCTTGAAAACCTTACGAAGCAGTTCTATTCTGCACACGTGGGGTCGCCATGAGTCGGAATCCAGTTGACAGCAACTAACAACAGCAACGCTCTTTATGGAAGCAGTGCGCCAGGCCTTTCTCTGGGGGGGTTCAAACCGCCAACCTTTAGATTAGCCGCCAATCACAAACTGAAACACCCAGGGACCTTATTACAGCCAATAGAAATTGCTGATGGGTGGAAAGTAAGGTATCGGATAAAGAGAGAGGGATCAAGGACAGAATAGACTTTTGACCCAAGCACCTGGAATACAGGGATTGCCATTTATTGAAGTGGAGAGAAAGAGCAGATTTTGGAGTTGTGGGAGTAGATTGGGGCCCTGGTGGCACGGTGGTTAAGAGCTCAGCTGCTAATCCAAAGGTCAGCAGTTCGAATTTACCAGCAGCTCCTTGGAAACCCTCTGGGGCAGTTCTACCCTGCCCTTTAGGGTTGCTATGAGTCGGAATCGAATTGATGACAAGGGGTTTGGTTTTTGTTTGGTTGGGGAGTAGACTGGGACTTTGGTTTCGTACATGCTAGGCTTGAGATACCTATTCGATTTAAGTGGAGATGGTGAATAAGCAGTGGAATAGACAAGTTATAAATTTGGAATTAAGAGATCTCAATTGGAGATGTAAATTTGGGAATCAGTAGTTTATACATAATAATTAAAACCATGACATTGGATGAGGGCACTAAAAATGTGAATTTAGAGTAGAGAACTATTAGGTGTGTAAAATAGACAATGATTCTAGTTTTTCAAGTTACCTGTTTATTAAATTCTACAGACTTTTTGAATAGCAAATTCCCAGATACTTAGAGTTACTTCCTGATGTTTCTTTCTGCTTTGATTCCCCAAATTAGAAGCTTTCCTGGTTAAATTTTAAATAAATAAATAAATAAATAGGAATCACATTTGTGTCAAAATCTGAGAGTAGATAAATTAAACAGAAGCAACTGCCTGACTTGTACTACTGGCTTATTTCAGGGAAAAAAAAAAAAAAAAAAAAGGAGCGTTTGGAATGTTGAGTTTACTTTTATATATGTGTGTCTGTGGTTTCGCTAATGAAAAGATTCAAGTAACCAGTTTGCTTCATGTATATATATATTTTTTTCAGAGTATACTGTCCTCATAACTGTATGCAAGCAAATCCACATTACGCTCGTGTAATTGGAAATCGAATTTATTCTGATGTAAGTAACCTAATTTGTACGACTCTCAATATTCATGTATATATACATGCACATTTAAATGTATATATGTACGTTTATATGCAGATGAAGAAACTAGATTCTGTGTTGATACACATAGCCTCATTAATCATTAATAATACTGAAACGTAATTATCCATATGTAGATATGAGTGCTGACTGATGCCACTCAGAGCATCCTGATAAAGTAAGACCATGTAGCAGGCACATGCTCACGTGAACTTAGAAGATCGTATGAAGTCACCCGTGTGTGCGTAGAGTTGAGAAAAGAGCACACCGGTGTGATGAGAAAAGACCTGTCGGGATATGGGAATGGATTGCTTTATAACTGAAGCAGTTCAAGTGTTTATTTTATAGGGATTTCCTCTGACTATATGCAAATAATGATAAATTTCAGCAGAACAGTTGGATAAAAGCATATGTTAAAATCTAGCAAAGACTCTAATGAGCCAAAATAAATCATTTGACTTCTAGAAATTAGAATTAAAAAAAATTTGAGCGTATTGGACCTGAAACAATAAATTTCTTCTCCTTAGAAATCCCATCGAGTTAATTCGGACTCATAGTGACCCTACAGTACAGAGTAGAACTGCCCCACAGGGTTTCCAAGGCTGTAATCTTCACGGGGAAACCCTGGTGGTGTAGTGGTTAAGAGCTACGGCTGCTAAACAAAAGGTTGGCGGTTCGAATCCACCAGCCCTCCTTGGAAACCGTATGGGGCAGTTCTACTCTGTCCTTTAGGGTCGCTATGAGTTGGAATTGATGCGACGGCCACGGGTTTGGTTTTTTTGGGTTTAATCTTTACGGAAGCGGACTGCCACATCTTTCTCCCACGGAACTGCTGGTGGGTTCAAACTGCCAACCTTTTGGTTAGCAGCTGAGCACTTTAACTGCTGCGCCACCAGGGCTCCTTCACATTATATAACCGGTACACTATAATCATAGAACTCTCTTAGTCCATGTCAGACCATTTAAACTAGGGTGATAGGCATTGGAAATCTAGGTTGAACGTATGATTGCTTTTTTTTTATATGGGGTTATTCTTTGAGGCAAAATCTTTCTGCAAGTATTACACTGTTTAAAAAGAAGAAACTCCCCATTTAATAATCCATACTTGTATTTGCGGAAAGGGTTTATAGTGCTATACGGAGCTCTGTTTAAGTTGACTGTAAGTTGAAACTGAACATAAATGAGGTACAAACGATCCAACTGGTGGACGTTTCGTCAGAGTTACTCTGGTGTGGGCAAAAAGCCTGAAATTTAAGGATGATAAAACAGGTCCTTGCAGAGATCAAAGGAGCTAATGTGGTTTTTTATTTCTTCCACTATGTGAAAAGCTCACCATTTGGGCAGGACAAGCATTTGCTAGATTAGATGGTAGAGGGGTCTGGCAGCTACTCTGAAGATCTGCCTTTAGACTTACCCAGATTTTGTGACTTTTAAAACATTCTTTGATGCACAGAATATCATCCTGTAGCTTCTCACTGTCTGCACACATAGGGACAGATGTCACTGCCTTTAGTCCACTGGAAGAGTGGGCTGGACAAGGTCAGCAGGAACTTCTTAATTGTGGCGGTTTTTCTTTCCCTGTCAGATGTCCAGTATCTGCAGAGCAGCAATACACGCTGGGGTGGTTCGAAATCATGGTGGCTACGTTGACATTATGCCTGTGGACAAAAGAAAGACTTACACGGCTTCTTTTCAGAACGGAATCTTCTCAGAAAGGTAAAAGAAAATTAAAATTAAAAAAATACATAAAAATATTGTTCGTATGTATTGTCTGTCTCCTAATTTATTATTGCATTAAAACAGACCCACGTTAGCGTGGGTTTGAAGTTAAATGGCTGAGGCAGAATATTTCTTTGGGATTTGTGTAAAAACTGGTCCTCTGGGGCTGGGAGAAGCTGCAGTACCAGAGGTGCTTGTCTCCTGCAGGCTTAGAAATATCCACATGAAAATAGGATATAAGTCAGAACACTCTTTTGTTAATTGATTTTATAATAGGGAAATTTCTTTCACCCTCTTGGATTTTCTAGATTCATTTATATATTTAATGCTCTCTAGGTGAGCACGGCATTGACAATTTCTCTAATCCAGCTATCTGAAAAGCATTTGACAGAAACAATGAGCTGATTTTCCTTACAACCAAACTCTCTTTTTAATTGAAAGTTGGAGGACTAGCATAAAACAAATTCTTTCAGGTCATCTCGCCACTGGAGTGCCATTTAATGCATTCATCCTATATATTTCAGTAGTTATGAGAATTAGTGTGACTTACTTTGTTAAGTATTTAATACACATTAGGAGAAAAAACTCTCTCATTGTGTTTTTTTCAAGTCAGCGTTTCTTGTGGAAGTAATATTAACTCCCATGTATTTTATATAGATTCAGAAAAATCCCACAATTTTAGACATTAACTGAGGTCTTCAGAATTGCCCAGGGAGGGTTCTCACATGTAAAGTTTCTATAAAGGCCACTAGAAGGTGCCATGCAAGTTATCTAGATAACCTTCTGGGTTCTGTCTTCAGAAAAAAGGCATCTGTTTTCAGATGAGACTATATCAAAAGGCCATTGTTGACAAGGTGTCTTCTCTACAACATGTCTCATGGTCTCCTTACGCAAATATGATATGTGAAATGAATGATTGCACACACTTTGATAAGCTAAATTGAGGGATATGGTTCCATTTAATTTTCCCATTTCTTAAATTTACTTTAAAACTGTAAAATGGTATGCTCTAAGAAAACTGAGGATCATTATAACTTTAATTTTGAGCATTTACTATAATAGTCCAGTAGCTGCTGAGCACTTCATGTATGTGAACTCAGCTCCACCAACAGCCCTGTAAAGTCAGAACTATAAACTGATTGATAGGTGTGTTAACGGAGTCTCACAGGTGTTAAATGATGTGCCCAAGGTCATATAACTTCTAAACCTCAGAGCTGTGGTTCAGCATAGGTCTTTGGGCTCAGAGGTATGCATTTTTCCAGTATATCACTCTGGACAAAGAGAAACACACCGGATACATTCATTTGCTAGAGCACTGAATCAACTTGTTTCCTAGAAGTAAAAATGACATCAGGTTGGCCATCTGCTGCTGTGAGAAACCTGTTATGTGTGTATGTGTGTGTTGTGTGTGCACATTTGTGATATGTTGTTGTTGTTAGATGCTGTCAAGTCAATTCCGACTCATAGCGACTGTATAGGACCAAGTAGAACTGCCCCCTAGGGTTTTCTAGGCTGTAATCTTTACAAGAGCAGACGGACAGTTGTTTTCTCCTCGGAGTCACTGGTGGGTTCAAACTGCCAACCTTTCGGTTAGCAGCAGAGTGCTTAACTATTGCACCACCAAGGCTCCTTTTACTTGTGATATACTTATCCTTTTTTTCACTCCAAAATTCTCTCCCTTCTTTTCTTGTACATGAATAAGTATTTAAAAGGAACTGCATTTTCTCTGCCTCTGTATCTCTGAATTTTTATCTCGAAAAGTCTTTTGTATTATTAAGAAAGTGAAACTTTATGCAAAAATGTAAAGCACTTCAAAAATTCACATTTGTTTAAAATCAGTAGTAAATAGTGGTATTATCAATCTGTTTTAATGTTTAGGCGTTTAAACAAAACATGCTTTGAGTTGTGTTCTCTAATGAAAGATAAACAGTATAATAAAAGAGTAAAATTTATGATTCTGCATTGCTTTTAACTTGTTTTAAAAGCACCTCCAAAATTAGAATAAGTGGTGTGTGTGTAAGCCATCTTTTTAACTTGCAGTGAACAATGAAGTTGTGAACTTGTCTGAGTATTCCCTCAGTAAAATGGAAATATAGCTGCCTAACTTTGCTTTATTAAGATCAAAGGAGGTACTATATAAAAATATGATCTGGAATCTCTGAAGTTCTATGTAGACTATTGCTATGACTTTTGACTTATGCATCTTAAATTTCTTCAGTAAACTTGCAGCACATGGGCGGATTATCAATAGGCAAGGTAAGCACGGTGCTTACCCTGCTTACCAGCTCATCTGCAGTGAACGATTTCACATTTTTTCATTACATCAAAGATTCTGCTTCTAGGTATGACTGGCATCTGTCTCTCTGCCAATGCCACAGCACCTTCCTACAGAATCAAAACCTTTTTTCAAATTTAAAATTCCTAACGGGCTGATGACCCAGTAAGCAAGGTGATCGTAGGCTCACTTGTGCTTACTTACTAATCTGTTGTGAGCAGTGACACATGGTTTTCACTACATCGGAGATGTGAAACCCGTGTGACATTGTTTACTACAGAGGATCTGGTGAGCAAGGTCATAACCATGCTTACCGATTAGATAATCCACTCCCTGCAGCACAGCCTACGCTCAAGATTTAGAGAATTATGCCATCCTCACTCGAGCTTTCCGGTAACTGTAAATTACAGTATCCTAAGAAAGTTGGCCATCTGGATTCACAGAGCTGCTTTCTTGACGTTCATAAGAAGGCATGATTCGTTTGAAGAATTGTATGTGGAGATGACATCAATATGCTTTTCATATTTTTTTTTTTTTTTTTGCAGTTTACAGAACCCTCCAGGAGGAAAGGCATTCAGAATATTTGCTGTTCTGTGAAGTGGAACACTTGGAAGACGATAGTAAATGCAATTCCAAAGGCCATATTTCTGAAGTTTGTATAAAACTGTAACATTACTGTACAGAAGGTACTAACTATTTCAGCCCAGGAAAGTACCAAATGCATATAAATCTTGATAGACACTCTGTAAAATAAAACATGGGACATTAGCTTTTGAAAAAATAATGAATATGGAATGGTTTTAGAAATCCTGTGTTAAATTTTGCTATATTTTCTTAGCACTTATTTCTACAGTTAAATACATAGTCATGATTGTTCTACATTTCATATGTTATATGGTGCTTTGTATATGCCACTAATAAAATGAATCAAAATATTGAATGTGAATGGCCCTCAGAATATCATCTGGTGCATTATAAAGTAATGAACTCCAAAAATGGCAAGAAATAGATTATCACATTTTTTTCAGTCCAATGCATTATCTACTCTAAATAATCCCATTTATTTTCAAGTGAATTCTTGTACAGTTTTTCTCTTCTGTTAAGTTTAGGTATAAAGAATATTCAGTCCTGATATTGCACTTCTTTTGTATAAAATAATCTATTACTATACAAATGAACAGGAGTCCTGGTGGTGCAGTGGTTAAGTACTTGGCTGCTAACCGAAAAGTGAGTGGTTCGAACCCACCAGCCACTCCGAGGGAGACAGATGTGGCAGTCTGCTTCCGTGTAGATTTACAGCCTTGGAAACCTTATGGGGCAGTTCTGGTCTGTCCTACAGGGTTGCTATGAGTCGGAATGGACTCGATGGCAGTGGGTTGGGTTTGGTTTGGTTTTATCCAAATGAACTAGTTAAAATGTCTGATTCCTTGGGAATGGCCTTAATAGTAAATGGAATAAGCTCAGAGTAATGGTATTAAAAATATTCCTAGTGTTCATACAAGAAGTATAAAGATAAGCATGGGCAGCCAGAGCATTCAGTATATTAAAATTGAGGGCACACATTTTCTTTTGTATCCTGGCAAATACTCCTGCAGGCCAGGAAGTACACAGCAGAAAGGTTAACAAAAATGACCTGAAGTATTTCATCACTATCGCTACTCATTTTCCTAATGGTAAACGGCCTTGTGTATTAATGTTACCATATTATGGTACCTATAATGGTGATATATTTGTTTCTATGAAAAATGTATTGTGCTTTGAAACTAAAAATCTGTAAAACATCACTTTTGGTTATTTTGGTAACTTTTTTTTTTCTGCTGGTGAATTTATTCTTTTCTATTCCTATAAACATAGTAAAATGAATCATGTTTCAGAGTATTATTTCCACTCCCCTTTGCAAGCTTATTTTGATGGAGAAATCATCTAAAGAGAAATGAGCGAGAGTATTACAAGTCTACTAAATTTGGTTTATTGACATTAATATAAATAACATACTTAATACCAGAAGCCTCCAAAGTCAACCTGATTATTTAGGGATTTGTATGTGAAAGAGAAGCATTGTATCATGGGAGAATTTGAATAAAACAAGAGAGAGAAATTTTTACAGGCAGAAGGAAAGAATCTAAAAGACAAAGTGATTATAAAAGAATGACAAGACAATAAATACTTCACATATTTTTAGAAAGTAAATGAGTAGGCATTTAGAAGCAGAGCAAAGGGAGATAAATTATAGGCAGGTGTATTAGTTCCCTAGGACCGCCGTAAGAAATTATCAGGTAGTCCCCGACTTACAGCGTTATTTGAGTTAGGATGAACAGCACTTAACGACCGTCTTTTTTTTTTTGTACATCTTATCTTTAGTAATATGTACTGCATACAGCATGGCAGCACATAATGTGCTGTTATCATTCTCAGATGGCCGCTTGCAGAGATGTTCGATGTTATGATTTTCTGTTCAAAACACTGCCATACAGCAGGCTATGGCAATAACAATGGACACAAGAAATGAGGCATTCAACCTCCATCAGAACTGACTTAATGACACAGCTGTAGGAATGGAACCCCATTGTAAGTCGGGGACTACCTGTACCACAAACTAGGGGGCTTGAAACAACAGTAATTTATTCTCTCACTCTAGTGGAGGCTTGAAGTCTAAATTAAGAGTGTTGTCAGCACCAAGCTCTCTGCAGGCTCCAGATGAAGAGCCTTCCTTGCCTCTTCCAGCTTCCGGTAGCCCCTGGAGTTCCTTGACTCCTGCTGCTGTCTTCACAGGGCCATGTTCCCTCTGGCTGTTCTCTTTTAATAAGAACACCAGTCAGCTGGATTAGGGCCCACCCTACTCCAGTCTGGTCTCATGTTAGCTTAATTACATCTTTAAAGACCCTGTTTCCAAATAAGGTCACATATGCAGGTACTGGAGGCTAGAACTTAAACATACCATTTTGGGAACACTATTCAATCCGTAACAGTCTGCCCTCTAAAAACGAAAAGAAAAACCCATTGCCGTCAAGTCGATTTTGACTCATAGTGACCCTAAAGGATTTTGATTCATAGCGCCCTGTAGGGTTTCCAAAGCTGTAATCCTTACGGAATCAGACTGCCACATCTTTTTCTCATTGAGCAGCTGGTGGTTTTGAAATGCCAACCTTTTGGTTAGCAGAGGAGTACTTAACCACTGTGCTAACAGGGCTTGGTCTGCCCTCTGGTCCCCACAAATTCATGTTCTTCCTATGTGCAGAATACATTCCCCCATCCTAGCATCCTAAAATAAGTAACATACTTAATGTTATTTATCAACCGAAAGAGTCCCAAACCTCATCTTCTGAATCATTCTAGTATGGGTAAGACTCTGGGTATGATCCACCCTGGAGCAAAATTTCTTTCCATCCACAGACCTGTGAAACTAGAAATCAGGTTACTTGCTTCCAAAATACAATGATGGGACAGGCATACACGATAGATGTTCTCATGCCAAAGGATAGCAATTGGGAGGAAAAAAGGGGTCAAAGGTCCTAAGCAAATTAAAACCCAGCAGGCCAAATTTTATTAGATTTCGAGGCTTAAGAATAATTTTCTCAGGGAACATCTAGGTCAAATGGCACAACAGTTCATAAAGAAAATGTTTCACGTCCTACCTTGGTGAGTAGCATCTGGGATCTTAAAAGCTGGTGAGCCACCGTCTGAGATACATCTATTGGTCCCATCATATTCGGAGCAAAGGAGAATGAAGAAAACCAAAGACATAAGGAAATATTAGTCGAAAGGACTAATAGACCACATGAACCACAGCCTCCACCAGCCTAAACCCAGAAGAACTAGATGGTGCCCAGCTACCACTACCAACCGTTCTGACAGGGATCACAATAGACGGTCCCGGAGAGAGCAGGAGAAAAATGTAGAACAAAATTCAAATTCACAAAAAAAGACCAGACTTAAACTGGTCTAACAGAGACTGGAGGAAGCCCTGAGACTATGGCCTCAGGACACCCTACTAGTTCAGAACTGAAGGCACTCCAAAGTCCACCTTTCAGCCAAAGATTAACACCAAAAAACCAAACCCATTGCTGTCAATTAGACGGGCCTATAAAACAAAAAATAACACACATAAGGAACGTGCTTCTTAGTTCAGTCAAGTATATGAGACCAAATGGGCAACAGCTGCCCAAAAGCAAAGACAGGTGTGCAAGAAGGCACAGGAAAACTGGACAAATGGACTCGAAGAACCTAGGGGGGAAAGGGAAAGGGGGAGAGTGCTGACACATTGAGGGGATTGTAACCAATGTCACAAAACAAATTGTATTTAAATTTTTGAATAAAAAACTAATTTGGGCTGTAAACGTTCATCTAAAATATAATAAAATTGAAAAACAAAACAACTCACCCCCCCCCCCCGAAAATTTACAGCCTTGTATACCCTGTAGGGCAGTTCTACTCTGTTCTATAGGGTCCCTATTAGTCAGAATCAACTCGATGGCAGTGGGTTTGGCTTCGTTTTAGTGTATGTTCAGAGGTTAAGGGGAGCTATTTAAAATAAACCTGCAATGAATTACTTCATTAAAAAAAAGAATAATCTTCTGTGGTTTGATCCACCCTTTGGGCCCTGTTAGCCTCTGAGCCGCCCTGGGTTGAAGTAGCTCGAATCTCTAGGTCCCCTATGGTGGCCCAAATCTCTGAAACCAAGGAAGCAGCCTTGCCCTCACGGTAATTCTTCTCTTTTTTGAAAGCTAACACGTGTTTGTAGCTAAATAGCTCTATTGGCTTGTGTTCTACCTGTAGAATCCCAGAAGTCCAACAGCCTTTTTTAATTTTGTTGAATCTGTCCCTTCTAGTCCAAACTGGTCGCGTTTCTGCTGAGATGATTGATTGGATCCATAGGTCACAAGTCTAATTTCTAGCAAATGGTTGTCCAGACACAATCTTGTTGTCTCCAGAGCACACTTCTCTTTTTTTTTTTTTGCAATATGGATAGGCTGAGAATTTTCCAAATATTCAAGTTCCGGTTTCCTTTTGCTTAACAGTTCCTTGATTTATTTCTTTACTCTTGCGTTTTACTGTAAGTAGCAAGGAGAAACCAGACCATAACTTCAACTTTTTGCTTGGAAATCTCAGCTAAATATCCAAGTTTATTGCTTAGAAGTTCTACTATTCACAAAACTGTAGAACATAATTCTATAGACTAGTCACAGACTATTGATCATTTGTGGTGTGCTTAACTCCATGAATGTTACTGAAGTTCTCCCGGCAAAAAGTAAATGGTTTCTGCTATGATGTCCTTTTAATTTGATGTCACATGGATCTTTGCTGAAAGCAGAGAATACCAGAAAGATGTTTATCTGTGTTTTACTGACTATATGCAAAGGCGTTGACTGTGTGGATCATAACAAATTATGGTTAACATTGAGAAGAATAGTAATTCCAGAACACTTAATTGTGCTCGGTTGGAGCCTGTTTATAGACCAAAAGATAGAGAATAAGGGGATATTTTGTGGTTTAAAGTCAGGAAAAGTGTGTGCCAGGGGTGTATCCTTTCACCATACTTATTTAATCTGTATGCTGAGCAAATAATCCAAGATGCTGGACTATATGAAGAAGAACGC